GGAGCTTTGTGCTCCTGCTTAAGTTTTCGCGAGCGACTCTCTCGCCGTGTCCCGAGAGAGTCGTGTGTCGTTAATGTCGCCGGTCTCGCGAGCCGGTCGGCGACACTCAGTTTCTTCACCGCTTCACATGAGCTCGATAGAGCCGTGATACAGCGCTTACACGCGCTCCGAAGAGCGTCGACGTGGTGTTTCACACGCAAAGATCATTTAATTTCTCATTCTCCCATGATAGGCGGATCGTAACCGCCTTCGACCCTGACGCTAGATCGACGATGCGATGCTGAGACGTCCAGGAATACGTTTGTAGACCGGTAGTGCCCTTTTCGGACACTCGGTCGTGAATTGCTTTTGGCTAAGTATTACAAGTATACGCGGAAAGGATCTCTCCTCCTTCCGTCCACTCGCATCCGTGGAGTTGATGTTCAGTAAGTGCGACGATACATCCGACCGCGTTCGTCTACGAACGATGGAAGATAGCGCGGCCAACACTATGTGCGCGCCACATAAGAGCCATTCAGTCTTTCGACACCGACTCGTCGCAATGCTGTGTTAGAAGAGTAACAGTTACGAAACCCTGCGAACGAACGCCACGGAGAGCAAAGCACCCGGGCGAAACGTTCCAGCAGCGCCATGAATCGCCGCGAAGCGAACGATTCCGAGCGACAAGCCTTGAGATCCGTGCTTGAAACTCTTCGCTCGACTCGACGAAGATCTGCTGCTGCTTCCCAACAGTTTTACTGTACGCAACCGACGTGCCAGGCGGTCGGCGACGCACGGTATCGTATGCGACACAATGTCGAAGTACCCGTACCTTGTGGGACTTGCAATTTCTCTCGGAGCAGCAAACGCTCAGCTCCGTAGGACACATCTTATAATACGCAACCGACGTACCAGGCGGTCGGCGACGCACGGTATCGTATGCGACACACTGTCGAAGTGTCCGTACCTTGCGTGACTTGTAATTTCTCTCGGAGCAGCAAACGCTCAGCTCCGTAGGACACCTCTTATAATACGCAACCGACGTGCCAGGCGGTCAGCGTCGCACGGTATCCCATGCGACAGAATGTCGGAGTACCCGTACGTTGCGGGACTTGTAATTTCTCTCGGAGCAGCAAACGCTCAGCTCCGTAGGACACCTCATATAATACGCAACCGACGTGCCAAGCGGTCGGCGACACACGGCTGGATCGACGAAGGGGCAGTCGCGTCCTCCGGACACGAGATACGGCTAAGTCTCGTCGCGGCGTGTTACTTTCGCCGTCGTGTCCTCCGGACACGAGATACGGCTAAGTCCCGTTGCGGCGTGTTGCTTTCGCCGTCGGACGTGTCCTTCGCCCGCGTATGTGGGGTCTCGTCCATCCGACAAGACGAATCCCCAAGTCGAGGGCTGAGTCTCAACAGATCACAGCGTGGTAACTGCTCTACCGAGTACAACACCCCGCCAGGTACCTAAGTCGTCTACAGACGATTCCGAGTCTCGACATCGAACTCGCGAAACTCATGTTCGACCGTTAGACGCCGTGTCGTCGTAGCGGTGAGATGCCGACGACGGGCCATGGCGCCGTACGGCAAACCGGGCTCGTGCGACGACTGGTCCGTGGACCAGCCGCCTAGTAGTGTCACATTGTTTTGAGCTATTCGACTCACGAGACTCCTAGATATATCATTGCCACCTTTGATTAGAGAGGATACAGCCTTAGAGGCGTTCAGGCATAATCCCACGGATGATAGCTTCGCACCACCGGCCGCTCGACCGAGTGCGTGAACCAAATGTCCGAACCTGAGGTTCCTCTCGTACTGAGCAGTATTACTATCGCAATGACTAGTCATCAGTAGGGTAAAACTTGAAACCGTAGGTTAGGCTCCGGCTTCATCTCCGGATCAAAGACGTCGGCCAGCACGAGATAAAGCGGACCACCTGTAAATATTATAATAGAATATTTAAGAGTAGCAGACAAAGTAATAGATTAAGTTATAGGGTAGAATTTGTAATAGTGACAGATTATGTATCGAAAGTAGAAAATGTGAAAGTAAAAGAAAAAGATTTGATTAGCATTAAGATTAGTATTAGTTGTAAATAATTTATTAGATGCCCATAAGGTCACAAAACCGTAGATACGGTAATAATTTGACGAGTGATCGTATAACGGGTGACCGGTAGAAATTCATATTTTGTAATAGATTGGAAATAAAGTAAATGAGATTGGATTTTGATTAAAACATACCGTCATAATTAATGAGACTATCAGTCGAATTTAAAGTGTTGATAAATAGTGATAAATTATACCGGGTGATTGAGAAAAAGCGTTATTATATAGTTAGAAGTAGAGTATCGAGTAAAGCCACCGTGAACGTTATTAGTAGCATTATTAAACTGCGAATAAGTACTTATGAGTCATCGCGTATACCGAGTGATCATATAAATTTGTTAAGTAATAGTTAATGTTGGCGGATCGCAAAACGCGACCGTAATATTTCATTTGGACATTAATAAAGGGTGTTGGTAGAATATGGGATCACCACATATATCGGGTGATAAATTATCGTTATTAGGAATTAGTATTAAGAATTTGAAACAAGTTGAACCGTCGGGTTGATAGATAGCATTAATCAGAGTTATTAGTATCATTAGAGCAAGCCGTATATAACGTGTA